TCCATTCGCGAGGCCAGAGGTTTAGGCATCCACATTGTGATCAGAGTATAGGCTGCCGCGTGACTACTTGGTCACTTACGCCAGCATTGGAGTTTTTGCTACATTTCTCAAATTGTCACATTGTCCTCAGGGCAGGGAGTTGGGGTTTGAGTTTTGCTACAGGCCATTATTGCGGGCGCGCATACAAGATACCCACATTGTGAATGAATACTACTTTTACTCTCCATTGCCCATGTCAAATGTTCCGTTGCCACGTCCTTGACTTGTTTGAGAATCGCGTGAGACGAAAATAACGTGTACCCACTTTCTGCGCGTGTTTGCAATCAGCCACCGCATTCACTCCTAGACCGCATGCCCCGTTTTTCGATGATAACTGTGCGATTGCAGAGGCTGTGTTTTCCTACCCTGAGACCAATTAGCAAGATCGGCGGCGCTCACAGCCACGTGCTGCTAGCCGAGGGGGGCGGGCTGTGTGTCTGTGGGTGGCCTGGCGTGCCTGATCTCACGCGAAGCGCGTTTGGACTTCGCGGGTCGAAAATCAAAAACTTCCAACACCGCTCACCAAGGCTCTTATCACGTTAGAATCTCTATCTACGACGTGTCAATTATCACTATCATACTTTTTTTTCTGCTCTCGACAGAATACATCATCGACCCTGACTTACAAGCTCACCTGGTCTCTTCTTACATCATCCTTCCTTCCTCCTTCGTTCAGCACCGACCCTCTACCACCAAAACTCATCCAGCAGTCGCCACTCTCTCCCCGCATCCAAGATGAATTACGCCCCAGTGAACCCCGAGACAGAGGAGTTCACACCCGCGCACGACGAGCCGAAAGACTGCTGCACACGATGCATCCAGCGGATCGATTGCACGCTGGCAGGCCCTTGGTGCATCGAATCGATTATTGCGTGTTTTGCGAGTATGGGAAGTTGTTTTGGCGATGCGTGTAGTAATTGTGGAGACTGCTGTGGTGAATGCTGTGCTGGGTGTTGCAAGGCGTTCACCTGACGCGGAAACATGGGAAGAGAGGAGAAAGAGGAAGACCCCGAAGAAGGTTGCGGTATTTATCATTCAACAAGCTCACTCTTGTTGAGGTATCGACCTGAACTACTGGTGTCGTGAGGGGTTCGTTAGGGGTCTATGGGTCATCGCAGAACCAGAATATGGCGAACCGAAGTCTGGCAGAGCGCATGTGAAAGAGAACGATGACTGAGAAAAAGGTGGGAGCGCGCCTGGAGGGCTTCGCACGCTGGATGAACGCGATTGCCTTCGACGCATGTCAACACGCCGACACGACAGAAAGCACTCGCCATTGCGACTTCCACAGAGACAGAGCACGTGCAAAATGCCATGCTGACGGTCTTTGACCTTCAAAGTGGCATCTGCTATACTCTTCCACTACGACCTTCCGCTCATCAGTCATCGCCTCTATCGTTACAGCACTATCGCTATCATTTGTTGGCATCGGGGTCCATCGACAACGTCATCAAAGGTATGTAGAGCATGACCTAATTCCGGACTGTTCTAATGTGATGCAGCAGTCATTTCATCTCATCCTCACCACCGGCATTCAGTCACTAGAGGCAGCACTTGAAGTATTCGCGCCTTGCTTTTTTCTTCGCAAAAACATCCACAGCAGGTACACCTACCTTTCCAGACACATAGCGTACAGTCCACGGGTCAATCGGCATCCCAATCATGCCCGGGAATGCAGGTCGGCGAGCTCGCCATATGCGCGGCTGTGGTAGATTCTACATAGACCGTAGGATATGTCCTAGATGTGGATCGACAGTATACCAGTTCTCCAGACACGCAGTTCAGACTTGTAGGACTTGTGAATACAACTTTATCTGGAGAAGTGAACCAGAAGTCGCACCAACGCAACCTCCTGCTCCACGTCCTCTTGGTCAGTCTGACTTAACTTTGACGTGCCGTACTGGGGCTGATTGAGACTAGGCCGCGGACTCGTACGCGTGTTGAGCGATATAGAAGATGGCGATGAATCTGATAATTCAGATGACGAAAGCCTGAGACCTAGGAACAGTATCACGACTGATGAGGGTTCTTTCAAAGGTCGCTCGAGTCCGAGGACCGAACCCAGAGACGACAGCGTCGTCAGTCTACTCAAAAACTGGGCACCATACACCTCCAAATCAGGCCAGGCAGACGATACACAACTGCCAGCAATTCCTCCAGTCAGCCTTGACTCGCTCAGCACAGTCCGCAATTCTCGACAGGAATCCTTCATCCCACCTCCACGATCCCGCATACACGTTCCAAGCAGATTCCGAAGGTACACCAACCGCATCCGCAGGGAACCCGTAGCACCTAGTCCGTCCGTGGTGACCGCCGATGCTATCAAGAGAGTACCTCGTATGGTCATGGTCAGACAAGCCTTCTGTCTCAATTTCATGCTCGAGGCACGGGCACGCGATCCACCAAGACATGGAGGATCTCTCAGACACCCATCTCCTGTGATCGAGCCGCGTGATCCTGACGGTGTGGTTCTGCAGCACTGCGCTGATCTTCACCATGCTCTTTTGCCGCTCGAGGGGTGGGAGAGAGATGAAGTGGTCGAGGAATGTCGAGCGGCTCAAGAGCGAGATGTTGAACGAGACCTAGAGATGGAATTACTCAGCATCTTCAGCCCCGACGCGCTGTTCGAAATCAGCGAGGCCGATGAAGTTGCTCTCCTACAGCCCGAACAGTCCGGTGTCGATGGCAGCAATGAGGATGGGGAGGTTACGCGTTGCGGGGAGGAGAAGTCTCTCCGCGATCTCATGCGGGAATTTTCTTGCTACACGTTCGTGCGTAATCTGGGTGCTGGGCTGAAGAACAAGGTACGCAAATGGAGGAGATAAGTCAGAATGCAACAACAGCTCTAGGCTGGACATGTGCGTTTGCGCGCTGGTGTCATTCGGTCTGTCGGAAACACTGTACTTCGACAACGCGTTAGAAACTAGTGACGTCGACTCTGAGAAAGAGCATGCTCCTGACCTGACATGTCTATCGCTCGGTGGAGAGTCGTGGTTAGCATGCAAGACAGACCATAGAGCTATAAAAAAAAATCTGAACACGCGAAACTTTCGAGTGCTGAAGGATTCTGATCGTTCTTTGTTTGCTACTTAAAGCAAAGGAATCGTTGTCATAATAACACGCTGGTGCATATGCTCCAACATGATTCCGTAGTAGATGTACATCCAGGTCGTTCAATCCTCCCATCTGCCCGCACCCAACGCCTAGCTTTCCAGCCGGGGAATCCACTTTCCAACCTCTCAACCCTATCTTCACCCAGTCGTAGTTTACTTCAGAGCCTTCTCCGCCTTCTTCTCCGCCTTCTCAGCAGTGTGCTTAACATCCAGCATCTCGCCCTTGGCCTGACCCTCGGTGTTCTCCAGACTCTTGTTGTACATGTAAATGCGGCCGACTTGTGTGGCACCGACGCAGAAGACGAGGAAGTTGACACCAGCCAGCGCGACGTTCTTGGGGCGGATGACGAAGCACCAGCGCGTCCAGATGGCGCCTGTGCACATGAGGGCGAAGTTCTGGGTGAAGGAGAGGGATTCGGCGGGGCGGGAGAAGTCGGAGGCGCCGGCGAGGACCATGCCCCATTTCATTACTGGGGCCCTGCTGGAGTGTTAGCATTTGTGCGATGGCTTGGGTGCGGTGCGGTGGGTTTTGGAGGTGGGTGTTTGCTGCTGCGGATGCGGATGCGCTTCGGAGAGTGCGGGGAGCTGGCAGCGCATTGCGGGTGGGCATGGAGGTGGTATGAAGGCAGCATACCAGAAGTGGACTGTCTTGGGACCGATGGGGCTATTCCAGAACTTCTGGAAGCCAGCGGGCTCAGCGCCCGCCGTGGAAGCATGTCGGCGGGCATTTGCGCGTTGGAAGAAGGGTCGGAAGGAGCTGAAGATGCGGGAGCCGGGGCGGAACGACATGATGGCGAGCTGTGTCCTGGACTCTCGAGGTCGGCGATTCGAGTGGGAGCAGGAATTGGGGCGTCGAGAGCGAGGTCGAGGCCTTGGCGAGTGTCGTGTGCGAGAGCCGTCGCGATGTCGGGCTCAAGCATGAGATGATAAATCCGGGACTATCGATGGGGGTGCTCCGACTGCTCTAGGCCCGTTTGGGCAAGGCGTGCGTCTGGCAGCTTGACGAACATTGAATGTCGCTGCCGGCCCAGTGACGACAGTCACCCATTGATACCCCCGCACACCAGTACCGGTCCCTACCATGGCGTCAAAAGCATTCGCAAACGGCCTCAAGGAGCTGAGGTTCCTGTTCTGCCAGACCAGCGAGCACAGCGCCGCGACAAGGTATGCGACAACCGAGTGAAGGAGCGCAACCCAACGCGCACGCCATTGCACAAGAGCAGGATAGACAGGACAGGCAGGATAGAGCGAACCGCGCTGACCGACTGGACAGGAATTTCCTCATGCGAAGCTACCCCGCCATGAAGAAGGCCAACCCATCCATCCCCATCATGATCCGCGAAGCCAGCAACACCCAGCCTACCGTATATGCGCGATTCGGTGCGTCACACCCAAGAACGACACACGAGAGCAATGCTAATAATCTGGGATAGACTTCGGAAAGGAGCGGAAGCTGTCACTGAAGGGCCTGGACGACAAGGCCATCGAACAACAAGTCACAGAGCTGGTGCAGAAGGGCGCATGAATACATACTGGGAAGGAAGGGCAAGTGAACAAGACAAGAGTCGTAGGTGAAGACGAATAGGCATACAAATAGCTCAAGAGAGCACAGCATAATAGCTCTGTATAGCCCGAATTGACCGTCTTCGAGAGTCCATTTCTCATTCACCCCGACTTCTAATTCCTCCTTCACCGTCACCATCCCATCTTTTGCGTAGCATATAAACTGTCCAACCGCCTCCCATCTTCCTATTTCCTCAGCCGCCAGAACCTCTTTTGCAGACTACATCCTCTTCATATCTCACAAACATTCTGCAAAACATCACCGAGACTACTACATATACTAATATGTCTCATCAAGTCCCCCTCCCAGGCCACCATGACGGCGACATCGTCGCCACCGAGCTCGACATCTTCACGGCCAGCGACGTGAGTACCTCCCGGCCTCTCTGTCATTTTTGTATCAGCACTGACAAAGTTACTTGCATAGCACCCCGCTCTCGCCGCCGGCCCCGCCGCTGATGCGCTCAGGCGTATCGAGCAGCAGTACCAGCATCTCGTTGAGTTGCTGATGAAAGAGAAGTCGGCTGCGGCCGCCCGGATCGAAGATCTGGAGACCACCAACGCCGCCCTGCTGAAAATCCTCGGCAAGAAAATGGCGGATGAGGTGAACGGGATCTTTGTGCAGACGCACATTGTGCCTGCCAAGAGGGTCGTGCTTCGGCCTGGAGAGGAACTGTGGTCTGGCATCTTCAAAGATGTTTGAAGATGGGGTTGGGTGGTTTGGTACTATTCTGATTCCCCGTCTTGTTTCCTCTTCCCCCCTCCGAGTTTTTGTTTTTTGTGTTTTTTTTTAGATAGATATCTCCCTTCTGGCATCAAATTCCATCGCGTGGTGTGCCGCATATCATGTCTACTTGGTGTGTGTACAGTGGTGTCTTCGTGGTTTTGTAATTTTGACATTGTGAATGCAACATGTTCTACATGCTTCTATATAAAACTATACCTCAAAGTACCGCATACATCCTCCAGAGTAGCAGCAACCGGCTCAATCCCAGAGCCATTGTAGTCCTCCCAGTACCACTTGTTCGGCGTCTTGAACTGCAGAAATCCCTCGACTCACATCACGCCCACCTGAGAACCTAGCATCATGTCCGCCTCAATGACATGTAAGCCCCAACAAGCCGGCTTCTTCAGCCGGTTTCGTCGCACCGACTCCGTCATGGGCTCACCCACAGGCTCTGCTACGCCTTCCCTGGCGCCCTCGCTCGCATCCTTGAGTCAGGACAACGACAACCTGGCTGCGACCAACACTCGCCTACAAAACCGCAACCAAGAGTTGATGCAGCAGTCTGAACTCAACCAGTCGCTCTTCCAACAAACTTCTGAAGAGCTCACAGCGAAGGAGAGCGAATTTATGGAGCTAAAGGAGAGGTTTCGCGACAATGCTGAAGCTACCAATGAGACTATCCAAGCTCTTGGACTGCAGCTCCAGACTCTAACTGAGCAAGTGGCAGACTTGCAAGACTTGCAAGACAAGGCTACAGACGCAGCACAAGACACTGCTACCGATCGTCATGCTCAACTAGCCGATCTCGAAGAGCAGCAACACCAGCTCTCCCTGGAAGTCGCCCATGTGCAATCCCCAACCCAAGAAGACGTCGACGACTTGATCTGGGCTAAGCTACAGGACAAGAATAAGACCATCCATTTCCTGCGTTGTCGACAGGCCAAGTCTGATAAGCGCATCAAGAAGCTGCAGGAGCGTTTGGAGGTTGAGCAGAATTTAGGGAGGGACTGGGTTGAGACTATCATGATGGTTAATATGAAGGTTAGGGCGAGGGCGAAGGTGGGGGACGATGCTGATGCTGGGGTGTAGATGTGGGTGATACGGCTTAATGGTATGGTGTGGTGATTGGCATATAGTAGTCGGACTAGGAGATGTTTACATAATGCACTGTACATTTCTCGCAGTGTTTCAGATCTATTTGTCGTCCAAATCTTCACCTATTAGTTCTTCGTTATTCGTACTCTTCTCTCTACCTCCCCTCAACGCTAGCAGCTTCCATCAAAGCCCCGCTTGTCCATGCTGCAATGCCCGTAGCACACTTCACAGTAACACCCTCGACGTCAGTCCGCTGCGCCTCCTGTTCAATTCCCAACAAGATGACCCCGAGGTGTCACGTAAGGCGAAAGACGCCACCAATGTATCGCGTAGTCACATGATCCGTCATGTACTGCTGTTGGGTCAATCCTTGTTCCGTGCTGGACGCCACCAATAATGCTTCTCAGGCACATCACATACAAATGCCTGTGTCGCTGCTGAGTCGCTCGAAAACTACGATAGCGTGGTCGACTAGGTTGATGCCTGCTGGTGTCGGTGTTTCGTGGCACACGTAGTGGGCTGTCAGGCGCCTGTCTTTGTTGTGTCATCGCCCGCCTTTGGTCTCCGAGACTCCGAAACAGAATGTACCTGCATATATGGCTAATGCCAAGATGTATGTTGCCGCCGTCTTCGTGCTCATTCGGCTCTTTTGCCGAGTAGGTGCGCAGATGATCTGCATGCTGCAGGGTATTCCGAACGAAGTAAGAATTGACGACGGGTACTGTATCCATAGAAGATTATTTGCCCCGTTTGCCTTATTTGAATGGCATCAATGACCTGGTCATGACGCGTGTGCCTTAGGTGGCAGTGTAACTGGATCGGTTGAGCTGGCTTGCTTGGTTGGGGTGCTAAGATCCTTGTTTGATGTGGGATTGTTTTGTGGCGAGACACAATCGGAGGCCACTGATCTGTGTGTTCCTGGAAAGTGTCTCGAACTGCGATAGCGTCATGCGGTATTTTCAGTCCGCTCTTCCGTCATACCTACTGTCTGGCGCTTGGTCATCGCGGCAGTCAAGCGAGAATACCGAAAGCATCCAACGTTACATCGGCCGAGCTGTACCTTGTTTGAGCAACGACCCAATACTCGACCCTGGCGGCGCATGCTTGGTCAACATGATCACGGGATCATGGTAGCTCTGTTGCTCATGTGCACGCCCGCTGAGTATCGGACGGCTGCAGCTTACTAGCTTCCTTGGGTGGAGGACTGACATGGATGACGACAACTTGGAATGCAAGCCACAGACGGGACCTTGCGGTAGGATGTGATAAGTCGCATGATCGACGTACTGAGCCAACTCTAGTTGCATTAGATGTGTCTGCAAGTTCTATCATCGGTCTTCCAAGCATGGATCATGCGTTCTGTAGCACCTCTGCGCTGTAAAGCGGTTGGCTGCTCTGACAGCAGGCACTACAGTCTGTGGCTGCTATCTGACAGCCCGTGTATTCATGACTATAGTACTGTAGCCTATAACGACGTGCCTTAATTTCGAAAAGTTTATCAACATGCAAGCCACCTCGAGGGGAATACGAGTGTATGTCGTGCGCGCACGTTGATACTGGCCGCCCGGGTGACGCATGTGCGATGGTTTGAGCGCACAAGACCGGTGAACTCGATTGGGCCGTTTTGAAACGAAGTACAGTCGTTGATGTCTGAGAGTTGGTGGACTGGCTTCTTATCGCCAAAAGGACGGCTCAGTGTGATGCGAATGAAGGTCCATTGGAGTAAGGTCGATATGTATTACGGCAATATGCTGGAAGCATTGAGTGTCTTAATGCCGTGCTGGAGCGTCAGATATGAGTCCTCCGATTGGGCTTTTTGGTCCGAGATTGAATGCCGCTTGAGCCTGATTCTGAACATTGTTGAGCGATATGGCTAGTTTCGCACCTTGTACCTCGCAACGCCAACTCCAAAAACAGGCATTACGAAGCAAACCCAACCTTGAAATGCGAACATTAAGTTTCCGAAGTGAGAACAACATATGTAAGATCTGTTGGAATGGCTGGTGAATGCAGAACATGACTGGAGGCCTGGTTGTGGTTCAACCGAGGAGGACCTCCCATTCCCACTCTTTCATGACGCTCAACCAATGCAAGCGGCTTTTGACTGTCACTCCCGAATTCTGGGAGTCTGTGGTACCAGACGGTATCGGCATCCCGTACGGTGTTTCTCGTGAACCGAAGTCGCGATCGGGGTCGTAATCATCGGGATAGGCGTCGTTCTCGCAAATAATGGATGCGTCTGATGAGAAGCTGTCGCTGCGCAAGTGCTCCATATTCGTGCTTGTACGCTCAAGCGCATGATTGTCGCGTCGGTTCCAAACTTCCTTCGTGACTTCCAAACATCGCTCTATGATCCCCAATTTCATTCTGGTAGACATCATAGACCAGCGATCTTTGACCCATTCCCGTTCATCCGGCTCAGTCATCTCACAGCCAGCAGCCATCAGAGGGTAGATGTGCACGATGATCGAGCGTGAGCGTGGATGAACGGTGGCCAAGGCGCACAGTACTTTGTTTGCGAGCACGCCGGGTGGCTGGGAAGGAACCTCAGGTACGGCTTGGTGAAGATAGAGCAGTGTTGCGTATTGATAAGCGATCGCAGTCTTGATAGCATCTTGCGGACTTGTTGTCTCATCTTCTGGTTCTTCAATGTGAGAAGGCGGGGTCCATTCCTCGAGTTGAGATTTCAATTGCACTGCTTGCGATATGATGGTGGGTCCGTTGCTATCGGATCTCCGTACTTTCCTCACCAGATTGGCGACCCGACCAATGATGGGGAAGAGCGTGTGCGCGCAGCCCATCAACGGGTCAAGAGTAGAGTCGGTGTCTCCAGCAGCATATATACTTTCTCTCACATTGTCGACATCGTATGCGTCGTCTTCGTCAGCGGAAGTAAGGCGAGCAAGAACGTCCATGTAAATCCAAGTGTTGCAAAGAAACTTCAGCCGAGCCCATTCTTCGCCTTGCTTTGGCATAAGACGATGGTTCATGAGTGCTTGATTGATCAAGATCTTAGCTCCTTTGATGTGGTTGATGCCGGTACTGATATGCTGGTCCCAAGATTCGGCAAAGGCCAGAACAAGTGTAGTCGATATAGCTGCGTCGACACGCATGTTTTGAAGTCCAGCAGCCAATGCATGTACGGCGCTCCGCATATGATCTATACCCTGGATGCGCAAAGTAGGCATATCTCTTGCCTGATGGAAGGAGGTCATCGATGCGATGGCATGATAGAGTGCGGGACAATCCCTCGTTAGAGGCCAGATGAGAGTCCGCCATGGGTTCTCTGTAGGCCCGTCCTTCAGTGACAGTACGCCGCACGTGTCCCTATGATAACGCCGTGTGAGTGACTCCGCCGACGTCATAGATAAATGCACCTGGGCCGGGATCTTGAAGTCGGGAGAATTCGAGGAAGACCCTGATGAGCTTGGTGTTGTGGGCGATGGTAGCCACATCACGCAAGCTGCAGATTCGTCAATCTTATCGCGTACAACTTCTTCATCGACATCGTCATCCAATGGCGCTGGAGGCGTCATACCAGAGGGCTGATAGAAAGCCTCATGCTGAGACACAAAGGAAGAGTATTCCTCCGGTGGCACATTTAGATCTGTTCCTGGGAGTAGGAGGTCTACTATTCGGGGAGATTGGCCTGACGAAAGGCTTGAGTCAGTATTCGTATTGGCTCGTGCAGTAGTCGTACTTTCGGCTCCAATAATGCCAAATGGCTCGAAAGAACCTGGCGCATATGACTCCACTGGTGATATCGACTGAGAGATGATGAACGGCGATGTCGTCGGGACAGTGAACAAGTTTCCCATAGGTGCCAAGGGAGGATGTGGAAAGGCTGCTTGTATGGGCGGACCATGCGTGAAAGGGTATGAGTGTTGGTGCGGCGAATAGTATACCCCAGGGTGGGGCAGGTTCCCGAAGGTGCATTGGTACTCCTGGAGACCGTACTGTCCCTGGAATTGCGAAGACATAACTGTTGGGGTTTGGAGGGTCGGGCCTAAGCCTGTCAGATGCGTATCAGTATGGCTGTGTCAAGACTAACCTTGACGTGGATTGATGGGCGCTTTGCTCGTAGTGTTCAACTCGTCATAGTGCTTCCATTTGTAATCTTTGGCGTAACCGCCGCATGTTATTGCACGTCTCTCGCATTGCTTGCATGAAGGATGTCTTTCGTCACATTTCAAGCGCTTCGCCTTGCAGGAAACGCATCCTACACACAGGTCAGTATAGTCACAGGTGGAAACAGGTCGAGTTACGCTTATCATGTGAGCGATAAGAGTTGACGCAGGGGAAGCATACCATTACGGCTCTTGGACTGCTTCCTCTTGGTGACGCCAGAGGTATCGGAAGCTTTGGTTGCCTTCTTCTTCGCGGAACATGATGCAGATGACACCTGCTTAGCGGGCTTGACGTCGATCGGAGCAGTGTCGGATGATCTCAGCACGGATGAGGATGACGAAACAGTGATAGCCTCAGCCATCTGCCGCGGAAGGTGCGAGCGTTCGGTCGCTGGGCGAACTTGTCGGCGGCCCGAGATATCATATGCAAAACAACGATTGACTAGCTACGCAGAAGCGAGAAGAATCACCGGAGGTTTGGTAGATAAGCAGGAAGGCAGCGGTATCTAAAGTGGAGAAGAAGCTGGGGAGATGCACGGCTAGTCATTAGCGCCTTACCTATCGGGGTCGCGAATCACGCGTGGGGTCCGGTTGCAGCATCTTTCTTCACTCTGCGCAATCGCGAATTTTCTACTTCAAGTTCTTGTGCTCAGTGATATGCGGCGGTAGCTACTCGAGTCCAGTATATTGTGCGACGGCTGACAGTTGGTATTAGCCGTTGGCTGGGATCGTGGTGCAGGCCCCCTCATCGACGCTATCCGCATTCGGAACCCTTGCAGCCGGCCGTGAACCGCTCCACGAACGGCTCAGCCTTGTTTCGGGAGCGACGCAAAGCCGTGGGAGATCCCGTGGAGCATGTATTAGGAACGTACACGCTTTGGGAACTATACGTCAGTAAGTCTAGACCAGGCCTACTTGTAGCCGGCCTCCATTGGTTGCACTGCGCACAGAAGACACAAAACAGTAGGAGGCTAAGCTTTTTCGTATCTCTATGTCGTCCTTCACAAGACGGAGATATGTCGTGTAGGTCTCAAGCGACATGTAGTGCCCCAGCGTCTTCACACTCTTCCGTCACCATCTGAGCTCACAGCCAGACTCTATTGACCTGGTGGCGAGGATTCTACCTCTCCTTTGTCCTCGATCTTGTACGTGACATCGTCGATAATAACTTCCTTCTTGCCTTCCTTCATGGCTTTGATAAGACCAGGGGCTGTAGCAGCGACAGCAACCCCGGTAGCCGTGCCCGCAGCGATGCCGTTGACAAGTATAGCGCCAGCGCCTCCCGCTGCTGCGCTTTGGAGAACAGCAAAGGTACTCCCAGCTGGAACACTCCCAATGCCGGCCTGTGCACCGGCTGCGGTAGATCCTATGAGACATGTCAGTCAATTACACAGCATATGGTTCCTGGTCGGCATTTGAGGGAGCTTACCAGCTGCAACACCCGCGGCCGTGAAGCCCACCATATGCAGAATACCATGTGCGGCCGCGATACCGAGAGGAGCAGCGACAACACAAGCGATGATACCTGCAGTCTCTCCTGGATGCTCTTCAATCCATTGCTTGGTGTGCTCTGCGGCAATACCGATCTGCTTCCCAGCCTCTTGACCAAACGCGTCCACATGACTCCACGCTTCTTCTAGAGCAGGTCCGATCTGTTCCGCCGCGTCGTGTCCGAATGCTTCGACATGTCCGTACGTCTCTTTGGCGATATCGTCGATCTGCTTTCTAGCTTCTTGTCCAAACTCATCGAGACCCTTGCCAGCTTCTTCCGCAGCACCACCGATGTGCTTGCCAGCTTCCTGACCAAAGGCGTCGAGATTTTCACCAGCGTCATTCGCGGCTCCGCCGATATGCTTCCCTGCTTCCTGGCCAAATTGATCAAGGTTCTTGCCAGCCTCATCCGCAGCGCCACCCATTTGCTTTCCCGCTTCTTGACCAAAGCCGTCCATTGCCTTCCAGGCGTCGTTGAAGAAAGACATGATAACCGATTGACCGAATAACTGAAAGTGTATGTGTTTTGCTACGATCAGTATCGAGAGGAAGCTTCTGCGAAAGCGTGAGATGAGTGGGGTCAATATGAAAAAGTGAACGCTTGAAAGAGGAAGAAGCCAACACAGGACGGTATGGTGATGAGGCGAGTCTTTTGTTGTTTGTGCGACGCAAAGGATCGGCTTGACAAGCGCAGGGATGAGGAAACGCATGCATGCAGTCGTGCGATTGGATGGACCGGGCAGGTGGGTGCATAATAACTCCCTGCCATATGTGAAACTACAAACAGTAAAGTACAGCTACGATTACATCGACAGAATGTACATGTGACGTCATATAAGAGCCGCGCAATATGCAAACGCCGAAACAGTGAAGACGCCTAGAAAAGCAAACACTACAAAAGCCGAAAAGGGTATCTCCTCTCGTAGTCCTACAGTCAATAGTAGCTCAACCCCGAAGCCCTCACCTTCTTCTTCCCTTTCTTCTTCTTAGCCGGCGTAGGACTAACCACATTACTGCGCCCACCTAGCCTCTCCTTCCTCTTCTCCTCGCCACCATTCATACCCGCCATCTTACTCGCACCGCCCGTCATGAAGTCACCATAGGCGCTCTCGGCATATAGCGCAGGCGTCGTAGTACCGCTAGGGAACCACTCGCTGCCTTCTTCCCATGCGATACCAGCAGCGTTCGCGGCGCGTACGCCCTCGATATAGGCTTCCATCCTGCTGCGTTCGTCGTCGTTTTCGAGGCCACAGCCGCATCCACAGCCGACAACACATTCACCGTCGTCCATACCGATCTCGTCGTCCATGCACTCCATGTGTGCGACGTGTCCGCATGAAGGGCAGAGGTGGAAAAGACCGGAGACGCGGATCCAGCAGATACTGCAACTGTACACGGGGTCTGTTTTGGTGGGCTTGGAGGATGTAGTGGTGATATTGGTGCGCGAGCGTCCGTCACGCCATGATGAACCGGCTGAGACGGTTGATGTACCTCGTGAGAGGCTGGGTCGGCTCGCTCTGCTGGGTGGGGGTTGCAGTCGATTCTGTCCAGGCGACGTATCTAGGCCGGCAACGCTCTCGTCTAGCTCCTTCGTTGGGGTTGGGACGGGTATTGAAAGTTGGAGATACTGCTCTGTTGGAATGAGTGTGCTGAAAGACGGTAGACCCTCTTCTGATATACCGCCAGATATCGTTCCAGGTTGGAACTCCATTGCTTCGGGGTTAAAGGAGAAGTGGTGAGGTGATGCGCCCGGTGTGCGCTTCATCTGTGATGTGGTGGGTGTTGGCGGAACCAGTGTTGATGAAGCTCGAGATAGATGTCTTGATGTCTTTTCATCGCCGCTTTCGTCGGCGGATGTCTTTAGTGCGAGCGATACTGAGCCATGTTTGAGGCCGGTACGAGGAGCTTCAGCTGGGAAGTATGACACAAGGCCATTGAACTTTAGTACTTCGGCCCGTATGCTGATCAAACCCCAGCGGCTCAGCATCTCAGCATACTGCTCGCGCCAAGCCCGATGTAACCAGTCTTTACTTGTGTCTAGTAGTGGCCTACTGAAACATGCCTCATCATCGAACTGATCTTGATTCTTGAGCGTGACCTTGATGCCTCCTCTGTTACTGACACCATCTCTAGGTTTGTCAGACGGGCCACTTTCTTTTGAGTTCGCTAGTCTGTCGCCACCGTCATCCTCGACTCTCTCGTAGTCAGAATCTGAATCCTCTATGTAGTTGACATTGACTTGCTCTGACTGTCCGAAGCTTGCTCGCTTGCCGTGCTTTGAGCGTGAGGTTGAGAGATTGTTTTGATCATGGGAGTCGCTTCCATAGAATGTGGTTGTGCCCCAGGTAACACCACTGGTGGGTGCTGAAGTTGAGAGATCGTCCATGCGTGACCTCACTGGAGGTGAAGAGGACATTGCGTTTGCAAAAGGACGCGACAATGCGGCAACAGCACTTGCGAAATTTGCAGCGGAGCTTTTTTTATGCGCCGTGTGACTTTGCTCTGGCGATGTTCCGTATGGTGTGTGATTAGCCGTCTGCGCACTCCTCATTGTAGACGCCCTGGACAAGGCGGGAGGCGTGTTACCAGTAGAGTATGGCGTAACAGATTCGGAGCTGACATGGTCGCTACCCCACGGGCCGTTTGAGCTTCCATGACTGCCATACGTATCGAAATTCTTGGCCAGTCTTTGCCAAGCAAACTCGTTGGCCGGCGTTGCAAAACGCGATTGCGATGGCGTAGATGGAACAGAAATTGTGGGCTGGAACAAACTCCACGCAGCATCCACTGAAGGGAAGTAGTCTAATGAAAACGCTGGTGCTTCCATGGACATAGGTAGCTGGGATTGTCGCATCTTGGCCATGGCTGAAGTGACACCTTCGCGAGCAGCAGGTTCTGCAAAGATACACGACAGCATGGCAAGCATCTGGGTATCCGCTAGGCGTTCGAAGTGGTCGAACAGTGATGGGATCAACCACGTGACGACAATGTGATGTCCCCATTTCACGCGAGCTTTGAGCTTAGGATTGGCCACGGTATCTGCCTCGTCGAATTGTAGGTCCAGCCCACTATCCTTGCGTTTAATTCTCCTAAGAGCTCTTCGGGCGAGTACAAGAACTTGGTCCCTCCGGTACTTTTGAGGTAGTATCTCCAAAGGCACCTCATTACTCAATATCAGTTTGCAGAGGATCCAGATATCCGCGAGATCATCAAAGCCGTACTTCCGAGCTACTTCAGAGTTGTGCTCGCAAATCACTGGTCCAGGTCCAAAGATCCTGTATTCCTCTGCGAGTTCACGTTTACTGGGTACCAGATCCTCCGTGGCAGAAAATAGTATTGACACTGTCGACTTAGGTTTAGTCGTCTGTTTTCCTCCGCCAGTCGAAGAGGGTATAGAGTTTCGGGATTGGAAGCGGGATGCCGATTTTTGCCAAGCAAGCGGTGGCTGGAAGTTGCCTATATGCGAATTTCCCGCATGGTGGGAGTCGGACGATGAAGATAGGGTGGAGGATGTTTCCCATGATCCAACGGAGGAGGATGGCGACGACGCACCATCGGAGGCTCCCGGATGACGATTTGTGAAGCGGCCGAACGAGTCGAAGATGTCATTCTTCGAAACACCCTGTCTGAGATTCCTGGTAATCTGGAATCTGAAGGTATCTGCGCCAGGCATAGATTTTGCTACGGGTATCCTTGCGACTACAAGGGATCCATCTACCGAGAACCGTGCAGTACATTGAACCGGCAGCGGTATGTTGGCATTAGTATGGGATGACTGCATGACGTCGTCAGTGAACTCGCCCTCCTGGTCTTCATCCTCACTAGAGCTCTCGCCAGGCAGTGGTCCAAGGTCTGCGAGCGGGTCATCACCTTCGGCTAGATCTAGGCTGTCGTCCAAAGCTCGTTCACCCAACGCGTACGATAGGACTGCTTCCAGGCCCTCTCGCTGTTGGTCTGCGCAGGTTTCCGCAATACGGTGCATGTTGTTCGTCAATTCGTCTTGGGTTTCTTTGCTAATCGCCGCTGTCGTCCTCTCGAACTCAATATGCAAAGGACTCGATATCCTGCTGAGAACGGAGCCCGACTCTTCCCTTTTGATTGCCCTCGGGTAGGAAACTGGGAAGTTGATGGTGAAGCGAAGAAAGACTAATCTGGGTTCGTTTGTGACTGCATCCCAATCACCCCACGGACCGCTGAAGGAGACCTTGATGCGTCGCCGGGGAATATCGATTTCTTCAAAAGCAAGCTTCTTGTACTTGTGGCCTACCAAAGCAATCTCTGCACCAAGGTCGTTCTGCTCCTGAAATGGCTGCTTCTTATTACGGTCGTGATGGTTGGGGGGAGCATGGAGGTCATTGATATCGTTGTGACCGTCGCTCCCGAATTTGATGCCATTAATCCACTTCATGTGATTGACTACACGTGGATCATGTCGCCGAATCGGTCGAGCCGTCATGGTTTCTCGCGGAATTGTCTCCTGTTGAATCCGAGGATGCATTCGGTCATGGTAGCGCGGAGCGTAAGCGTCTTCTTTCAGTGAGTAGTTCTGGAGGAGAGTGGAAAGGTTGCCTTTGCGTTGTCTGCGAGGTGGGCCGAATTCGTCCTGAGTGGTTGTACTAGTGGTAGTAGGGATAGGTCCATCGCGATATGAAACATACGTTGCACCGTTTCGCGTCCTACTGGGCTGTTCGATGAGTGGCTCGCCTTTACGGTGACCGACCCACGCTTCCAAATCTTCTGTAGAAAGACGGTGAAGTATGAGTCGCCTGTCAGTACCATAAGAAACCAACTGAAAGTCCCGGTTGTCGAAACCGTCATCGGTAGAGCCACGCGTGCGCCAGAGGAATTCACGAACTTGGGCAGGGCCATGCTCGCCGTGCTCGGGGAATTCTGTAGCATGAGTGTTGGTAAAGGTCGAAGGATCGCTACCATCAACGTGTTTGTATAGCCAGAGAGAGGAGTTGCCACGTTGCGGCATGGCGAGAATACCATGTGGAAAGGGCGTATGTCGCGCTCGCCACACAGGGTAATCAGTGCGAATAACGCGGCGAGGAACGGTTATATTGTCTTTCAGACCTACGTTGTTCCAAAGTTTGATAGTCGCGTCGAGTGAGCAGGTCATGATCTTGTTCGCGTCGTTGCGGTTCCAGTCGATGCCGTAAATCTTGGTCGTGTGCGCAGTAATGGTAGAAAGAGGGTTGGCTCCATGACGAGTGTCCCAGATGTGAAGGTATTTGTCGTGAGCACTTGCGATAATCTTGTCGTTTTGGCGGTTCCATTTCACTTGGGTGGCTCCTGCGGTATAATCGGCAAGCTTCAGTGGCGCCTTTTGGCTGCGAAGATCGTGGACGAAGACGAAGCTGTCAACACCACAAGTTGCCAAGAGGTCTGGATGATGTGCGGAGAAGTTGATATCTGTTATAGCTCGATCATGTGCGCGCAGGGTATATTCGATGGGCGCTTTGTTGTTGTTGTAAGGCATGGAGAG